GTGTGGACAGGTGTCTTTTATACAGGTAACGAGTTCAAACAGGTGCAGTTAAAACAGGTAATGAGTGGAGAACAGGAGGGCTTCTTAAAGAAGAACTAACATGTCTGTGAGAGCCAAAATTCTTACTGGTTGATAGATGATCCACTACTTATTTCAAACAATAAAATGGAAATTAATTATTTAAAAATCATACATTGTATTTTTCTGGATTTTTGTTTTAGATTCCATCACTCACAGTTGAAGAGTACCTATGATAAAAAATTACAGTCATCTACAAGCGTTGCAAGTGGGAAAACCTGAAAAATCAACAGTGTATCAAATACTTGTTCTCCCCACTGTACCAGAGACTTTAGTATCTATAAAGTCTAACGTCCAACTTTGCATGGCCAAACTCTGTCCTCCTGCAGGAGCACGCAGCAGCACAAGCTGAGTCTTTCTGTGAGATCCACTTATAGCAAACATTATTCTCTATTTTTAGTTCATTATCATAAAGACAGTATCTGCAAACTTATATTGTAGGAACAAGGTTTTGCATGTTTCAGCTTGCTTATATTTAAAACCATACTGTACACAGCTTTCAGGGGGACATGGGTGCGATTTCTTTTTGCGTTCCCTCACAGTACATTTACATTACTTGGAAAAAAACCTTTTGCATTCCCACGCAAAAGTTTGTTCTAAACTTATCTTAAATCAGGCTTTTATTTTGAAATATCCAGTTACCAAAACAGGATGTGTCACCCAATAAATTTGGTGATATAGATGGCGATATTGTGTAGCTGCTTTGTTTTAAAATATCTACATATTACAGGCGTGGCTTCATTCTGAAGTCAGTCTAAGTCTAACAAATAAAATATTGTAGTTTTAAGTAACTTGGTGCTGCGCAAAAGATATATTTGCCATATTTTTTAAAATACTGAATTATAGCACATACAAATACACAAATATTTGCTCTGAAATTTTATGGAGATGATAAAATATTTGTATGATATATCTGACAAGTCTTGCCAAAAAATGCTGTTTTTTATTAGATATATTAAATCACTGAAATGATATGAATGTAAACTACGGAAAAGCTGTTCAAAATTATCCTGTTTTTTATAAATCTCTTTGGTCCCAGTGTTTCAGGTTAAGGTCTTTGTATTATGGTTCATTAGAAGACACTATGCTGTGGACTTTGACTAGAGACATGTAAAACAGTTTGAGGAGTATAATGTGTATGCTCTTAGTCAAAGAACACATGATAGGGTTAGATGTGTAGTTCACCATGTACGTGTGTGTGATTTTATTTTTGCTTTTACCCACATGTGCACAGTAAGTAAAGTTGATCCTGTTTCTAACAGTCCAGTTGATCTGCAGATTCTGTTTTAGTTTGGATTAATGACATGATGGTCCTGTTGTGTTTCAGACTCAGATCGATCATTACCTGGCTCTGGTCAATAATCAGATCAAAGATGTTGTGGGAAAGTAAGTCATCATACTAATGAAATCATTTTTATTACCATTTTATTTAATGTATTCATGTAAAAGGACAGTGCTCAATATTTCAAATGTATAAATTCACTTGAATTAGCACAATAGCTACATCATTGTCTGCTGTGTTTGACTAATGTAAAATCTAATAAATCCTGAAGGTAAGTCTCAGACTGAGGAGTCTTGTGAAAGAGCCTTCAGAATGTTTGTTGTGAACAGTTTTTAACATGAGAATTAAACAGGGTTTTTTTGTAAATTTCACTTTGATTTTTTTCAGGGTTCAGGCGAAGGTTCCTGGGTTGAAACGCAAAGCAGAGTAAAGGAACAGAAAGTTGATGTTCGGATTCAGAGTCCTGATGAAGATTGAGGGAATGGGAGGAGGGGGTGTAACGTTTTATGGGGAGGGGGTCAGACATGAAGGAAAATTAAGGACAAGAGGGAAAGGTCTAATGTGGATGTAACCCTTCTTAGAGTATTTGTCAGATGAAAAACAAATTTCCACTTAAGAATTCCTGTTTTTGTTTTCAGAAAGCCTTCAGAAAGCTCGCTGGCTTTTGTCTGTCCTGTTTTTATTTTGTTGGAAAAGTTTAAAATGTTTGTTTCTGAGAGCCAACCAGACTCTGAAAATCACATTTCAAACTTCAGTAAGCCCTGCCCCTTTTTAGCCCGGTGCATTGAGGGAGGCCAAGAGCTCCTCCGGCCGGATCAAATCATTATGCTGTTTCCTGGATAGTAGATTTTTGATGAGCTAAGATTATTTTTTTCTAAATGTTATCTTGTGATTTCTTTTTCTTTTCTTCATTATGACTTTCTTGTCGCTGAAGCTTCAAGCTTGCTCTCTCAGTAAGCGGCTTTTGACTTTTTTTTTCTCTCTCTCTCTTTGGGTGTGTGCGTGTTGGGGGGGTTGTACAAAAATCTTTGCTTCTGAGTAAATGTAGGAAACATCAGACAACTCATTAACCACATAACATCATCTCATCACCGCTGTCACGTAGAAACTGCAACATTTACATTAATCCAATATTTAAAAAAACAGATGGGATTTAGATTAAACTTAACTCTCTGTGAAGCTGAGTTCTTAATGAATAGGCTTGATGTGACTGAGAAACGTTCAAGCATTTGTTTGTTATGCAAGTATAATTGTGAATGTTTCAAATATTTCAACGGTTGTGATGATTAAAAAGCTCCCAGCTGGGAGTTGTGTTTGTGGAATGCATTGTGAAGATGTTAACAGTTATCAATAAAGCTACAAAGAAACCTGCCAACTCTTCTGTCTGATCTGTTCCTGAGGAGTACCGCAGTCAGAACAAACAGGTTTTCTGGTCTAAATTAAGGAATCAAAGAAAAATGGGCTTTTTCAGTTGTTAAATGTGGGATGAACATTTAAAAAAGTTTTAAATCTTTATTAATCGAGAAATTGTGCACTGTGATGGGAAAACTTGAATTTTCTTTGGGATTCTCATGAAATAACCCCAACACTGGAAGGCCTTGAAGTGCAACATCCCTGCGATGTCCAATGATATTAGAGGTCTATGGAGGGTCAAAGGTGTAGGTACTTTAAAGGGTTTGCTAAATATCCATAAAAGCTAGCTGACTACACATGGCTGAACAAAGCTGAATAAATGCACAGTTTTGTACCTCCTCATAAAGTCTCACAAGGAGGTTTTCCATTTCCTTCCCAGAAAAACAGAGCCGCAGAAGTTTAGGATTGCAATTGTCCACTACAGCTCTGAATCTTTGTGATGCAGAAAAAAACCCTCACAGATCTGTAAAAGTGCATACACCATTATTTCCATAAATATTATGTTTACATCATACAGTAAATAAATAAAAATTTACACCCCTTTCATTTACATAGTTTTACACATTAAGACAACAAAACTTATACCAGAGTAAAATATATTGTGTTCAGTTACTCAAATGTGTGTAAAGGACAAGGCAACAAATACAGAATTAAGACTTGAATGTTAATGTAAGAACCAAAGCCATACAAACTACCCATCAGCCATCGCATGATAACATATTTTATCACGAGAAAGCCATGGGGAAAAAAATGCAGAAAACATCCGCTCTTGGCTACCATACAATAGTTTACACACATATATTATTATCCCCTCTGTAACTACTACAATTAATTTATTAGTAGTTTATTAGCAGTAATATTGTTGTTGCTGTTGTTGTGATTATTAATATATTACATGTATTAGAAATGAACTGAATGATTCAGTGAACAATTTTTTTACATGAATTATTTTACTGAACTGATTCAAATGATTCAGTTCAATAAAATGAACTGCTGTTCCCATCACTATCTCAATAACTATCTCGCAGCATGCCCATGAACAATTGACTAGTGCCTCTTAGTGGACAAAAGAAATCATTGCACTTTAAAACAACACATGCAGCCAATATCCTAATGACATGAGTACACATACAGTATACCATACTTCTTAAGACCCCCCCCCCCCCACACACACACACACACACTTGTACTCAGGTTGCTGAAATAATAAAATACACCAGTAAACTAAAAACACAAATGTGGATTTCTTCCACTCTCTTTTTGTCTTTATTTTTCAAGCACCAAACAACATTTAATTTTTTTTATTAAGTTTTAGCTTAGAAACAGGTTTGGTCATTGTAGATCATTCTGATAAATTGTTACAGGTTTGTTTTTGGTGTGGACCATAAGAGATGCCTTAAAAGTAAGTAAAGTATAAATGTTCAGAAAGTTCTTGTTCAGTTTTGTACATTCCTGCATCTTGTTGCTTTTTGTCTAGAAGCGCTGGAGTACAATTTCCCATGGACTCGTATGGGATGCCGTTTGTAAAATTACACAGTCAAAAATTAGCAGCAATATTTTGCTTAATTTAGCCTTTCATAAATGGGGGGG